CTGAGTTTCTTAGTATCTATATTAAAAACAAATAAAAAAATTTGTCTCAAAATGAAAAGTTTTTACCAAAATAATTGGCAGGGAAGGGATTAAAAAAAAGTTCTATTCTAATCCATGTCACCTATAATCTTCAAAAGTTTAAATGCAATGTCAATCACTATCTCCTGTCTTTCTGAACCCTGTTCTTTTATTGTCCTTTCTCCTCACTAGTCTTCTTATTCACTTTCACATGCAGTAATCCCTTGCATCTTAGTTGCATTATTTCTTTGCTTGAGGTGAAATGATTTAAAACAAACAAAAAAAGGGAAAATTGTAATTCCTCTTTGTTTCAATATATTTTCATATATTATGTAAACATATACTTAGAAAATATCTGCTTTTAAAGCCATAATAAAATTTTGTATTCCACACAGATTATTTGAAAACCTTTTGCTTTTCATGATAATATCATTACATCAAGTGTAGTAAACAACTTTATTGCAAAGTTACCGTTTTGATATCTCAGATGCATTAGTAGACTATAGTGGAATTTATTTTGTTAATGATTTGATATTATGGACAAAAAAGAATGATTCCCCTCACTCCCCATGTTTTCATAGTTTTTAGGCTTTTCCTGAGGTAGAATAACAAGAATATAGCAATAAACATTATTAGTCACTTCATACTTTATCAATATATAGAATACTTATTGGAATCTAAGGACTGAATGCTCACAACATCTATCTGTGAAGTAGGGATAAAAGCTGTTTCATTCCATACAGATGTAAACAAATGACAGTCATTTGCATGAAATTTTCTAAATTTTCAAATCTCAAATTAATAGTTATGTTGTAGTTTGAAGCTTTAAATTGGGTCAAAAGGCTAATTTGATGGACAAAGAAAAATGTTTAATAACTTCAGATCTTGCAAAAGTTATAAAACAATGCTGGAAATTCTAAAAAGGATCTTTAGTTGTCAGTTACTAGCAAACTGAAGAACTTCATTGAAGATTCTGTACAAGTCTGAAGTAAGTTTGATAAATTGAGAGATTTATATCACTGATTTGTATTAAAAAAAAAATTAAATAAATTCATTTGCCAAGCAACAAAATATTGTGTCAGTGAGAAAGTGGAAAAAAAAAGCACAAGATGTCAGGACCTAAACCAAATGGCAGAAAATGGGAGACTCTAGGCTTCATTTAAGACAAGGTGCCAACAACCCCCCCTGCAAAGGACAATACCTGGACAATAATTACATAATTAATTTGTGGAGCAAGTGACAGAAAAAAAATATCATTTGGAGTTAATTGACTTACAAAGCAACAAATTCTTGAAATCAAAATTTTATTCCAAATTCACTGCTGACTTCTACAAGAAATATGTTTTGCCAAACAGAAAATAGAAAAGCCTATTGAATAATGAAAAAAATGATTATCATTATTTGGAAGTACATATGCTTGGGAACAAATTTTTTTTTTCAAAAAATGAAATATACTAAAAGTAAATTAGAACAGGGTTAGGTGATGACCAACTGGATGATGTTTTGCTCTTGTCATTGACAAATATTTTACCTGATGTGGAGGAGTTATTGAACAATAAGCAGAAACAAGTGTCTCATTAAATAATTTCATTAAAATATTTTGTATGTAATATGGAATTTAATTTTCTGTTGATAGTATTTTGTTTGTGGTAAATTATGGAATTTAAATATTTTCATCCAGACCAGATTGGATAATAGGATCTGAGATGAAAGACAATTTATTATTTATCTTCCAAAACAATGCATAGTTTTCTGGTAAAATTTAAAAACACTGCCAACCACTGATTTAAGACATACATGATAAAAATTGAATGAAATAGGATACATGAAGATTGATTTTACAAACTTCTTTTTTCTTTTCCACTAAATAAAGAATACAATGCTAATCTCAATGAGCCAGATGAATGGAACAATGATCGGATGGCTACTGGTAAAAACCATCCTCCCAGGTTGAGACATCAACAAAGTGGAGGTGAGGGGATGAAGTGGTGAATCCATGGGGAGATCCAATCGTTTAAGAAGGCGGTATGATATACATTGAAAAATTTTTTTTTTGAAGGCATTTATAGAGCTCATATAGTTAAAAATTCAAACACTTTTGGGAAAAATGATTATTTTTTTATGCACAACAATATTAAAAGTCATTTGGAGCATGCGTGATACAAGAAATCAATACGTATCTTTATTGATGCATGACTACGGAGGCAGTTTTTTTTTTGCAGTAGGTTCATTATTTTTTTAGACCTTTTCCTTTATGACCCAAGGCTTAGAACCCAGACTGTCCTGCTATTTACCCATAGCTTTGGGGAGAAGTTTTTATACCTTTTCCAAGGGTAAAAACATGTAAGAAAAAATGCAAACTTAAAAAACTAATGAACATCTGAATAAAATGTGTTTCAAAGAAACATATGAAGATGAAGTTGCTTGTCAAACTTTTTTTTAACCTGAGCTAAAATTTTGGAAAAAGGTTTTGGTTTACAAAGAATAAAAAAAAGGCAAACTTTAGAATGCTATTCTGAATCAATGTATGTTTCATATGAAAAAATGACAAAATTGATGAATGTTTTTTAAATTTTTTAAGAAATGGATTTATATTTCACATAAATGTCTTTTGTGTCCATTTTTCCAAAGTATAAGTAAACATTGTGTCCATACAGCAATTAAAATTCAGTAAAATTTATAAAAATGTTGCCACATTGTAAGGATGTCATCGTCTATTATAATATGAAATTTTTATATATGCCTATTATAATTTCCTGTAACATATATGAAATATCCTGCACATTAAAGTGCATATATTTTCCTAAATCTCCATGCTAATTTTTTTTTTTTAATTAGGCAAAATTACAAGTGGCTAATGATGTGAGAAGCCATGTATGTACAGAAATGAATTCTAGTGATTTTAATATTTAAGTGGGAAACATTGAACAATAATATATATATATATATATATATATATATATATATATATATATATATATATATATATATAAAATGAAATGGACAAAGCCCAACAATTATTTTAAGACATTTTTATGTTTCTACATTCTTTTTATAATAATTGTTGGACTTTGTCCATTTCATAATGTGTGACGTCATTTGTTTACATTTGGATACGCCATGAGCAGATATGAATGTACGTGAGAGAATCATGGAAGATTGTAGTTTAAAGACAGTAAAATCGACCTTACTAACTGAATGCTCCTCTATGACCCAATCAGTTAAAGGCACGTCAGGCTATATGATGGTTCCATATAGGATACAGGTTCGATTCCTGTCGAAGGACGAATATTTTCTATGAAAATTTCTCAGATATTCAGGTTGGTAAATGTTGTTTGATACTGTTTATTATAAAACAGAACATTTACTTAAATATTTGTATCTATAAAAAGAATGTATAAACATAAAAATGCCTTATATATATAAAATGATTAGCTAGTTGTTATCTAACAACTTGCCTGTGATATCAGAATATGTCCCCTGTCTCTTGTAGAAAAACATTAGAAATATTGGTCATGTTGAAGAAGGAGTCTGATGTCTTCAGAAACCCATTGACATTAAGAATAATCGTCATTGATGAAGCTTCCTGGTGTTACTGCAAAGGTGTTTGAAATATGTGTAATCCAAAAATCTATCTCTATTTTTCTACAATATTTTGTTAAATATCCTGTCACCCAATTTTTATTAATTTTTTTCAATGTTCAGTTTGAGGCATTCATAGATATATGAAAGGGATATCAATAAAAGTCCAAAGACTGAAGTGGAGTTAATAAACTGAATAATGTTTGATCAATGTTATGTGATTAGGAAAGAGATCATGAGAAAAAAATAAATATCTCATGTGTAAAATAAACGTTTTTTTGTTATCATAAGGGAATGGACTTCTCAAAGTATCAACATAAATAGGAAGAAACATTAAACAGGGGACGACATGCTGACCATAGAAACATAGGACAACACAACGAACATAGAAACAAAGTCATCAGCAGCAGCCATTCAGAACTACACTAGTCAATTTAATGATCAGATAATATTGTTACCATCTCAGCTTAGACTAACATGGGTTAAAAAAGGTACTAATCTTAATGAAGTATACTGAGTGTTTGTAATTCTAATTGAAGCCTGGGTGGTACTTGTTGGTAATCATCCAATCAAGTTTAAGTACATGTGTAATAATAGTTTAGCTCTAATTATTTACCTTAATAAGGTTTTCAATTTGAATATAATTTAAGCTCAAGTGCTATCAACAATTAAAACATATAATTTATTATAAAATATACTTGAAGAAAAGAACAATTAGCAGAAAAAAAACTTCCATTTCAACATCCAATATCATTATCCAAATAAAGAATTCCCAAAAGAAGATACCAGATTATGTTAAAAAAGGTAAAAAAAAAAATGGCTTAACTTTTTTCAACTAAAGTTCACCCAATACAAAGCTAGCGATGCCTACTTTGAGGTTTACTGAATGCCATGTGTGATATGAATGTAAGTAAAGTTGAAAGAAAGTGGAGATAAAGAGGATAGATAATGATTGATCCTTGACTTGAATTGATAAGGTTTAAGATTGTAGTGTTAAGAATTTTGATTAATTGATTTGTTTTTTTTTAGTTTTTTTTTATGGCTTATCAGCTTTCTGCAGGTTATTTAAAGTTAGAAAATATTTTTAGATTGTAAGAATTTTTGGAGATAATAATGCCTTACTAATACAAACCCTACTAAACCAAAGAAAGAGATCATGTGGAAAAAAATAAATATCTCTTGTGTAAAATAAACATTTTTGTTATCATCAGGTGATGGACTTCTCAAAATACCAACACAAATAAAAATAATTTTAAATGCTACATATAATTTTAGATATTTACTAAGTTTAGCCTAGACTGATAAAAGTAGAGAATTGAGGTCAGTTAGTTGAGGGAAGAAAAAATAAGTTTGTTCATTGCTCTACAACAGATGCCCAATAATAAATAAATTTTATTTACCTAGATTTGTATCAGCCCTTATAATGAGCTGAGCTTTATTTTTTAGAGGTTTCACATGTAGATTCCCAACACCTTTGTCAATCCAATTCTTGTCCTTTTCATAAAATAGTTTACATCTGCAAACAGAGAGTAACAATAACAGTTAAAGACAATATTGGCTTTCAGTGAGAAATCATAAAAAGAGACATTTAATACAATAGAAATTACAATAAAAGATAATTTTACTTTTGAAGGAACAATTTATTTTATTTAGAATTCTTCATTCTTCTTACAATAAACAATATTTATAAAATTCTAAGATACCTATAAGATTAAATAAAATTTGGACTGGCCAATAAGCAAATTCTCTTAGTTTTTAGTTAGGCTTCTTTATCTTGTTATTGTTTTTAATCACAATATTCCAGAATATGGAATGCAAGTTAAGGTTTTGTTGGAAACAATTTCTTAATTCTAACTTTTTTCTTTTTATGTGCTGTGTCCCCATTTTTTGTGATATCAACAAACACTCATTACCACTTTTGTGCTGCCAACGAATACGCGTTGTCACTTTCATAAAGCTTAATGTAATAGAAACTTTGTAATTGCAGATACAACTATAATACGCTGTTGAACAATACTGGTGTCAAATGCCTTCAAATAATACTTGCTCGACAAGTAACCTGTAAAGTGAAATAGTATAGAGAATAGTGGTCTGTATAGTAATAGATGATACAATAGAAATGCAGATCCGAATAGTAATAGAGGATAGACTAGAAATGATGATCATTTAGATGTCACACTACCTCCCATATATGCATTTCCTCATCACATAATCTAGTTGGTCACATGATCTACTTAATTCAATAAGGGGATCACCTGTGTTAACTCTCTGGCGATCTATGTTCAAACTCAAGTGTCGGCAGCGACACTTTATTCCTATATAACACCCTTCAGGATGTAGGCAATCATGGCTCTCCACTTCCTTCTATCCCTTGTAGCTCTTAATGTTTTGTCCCTTTGCCACCTCACCCAGACCACATTGCTTAAGCCCACCAGGTATGTCGTGTGTTGCTTTCCTTTGTCTCTGTTCGACATGTGTGTATCAGATTCTCCAGGCCCTTCTTTCTTATTACGTGTTCCAGAAATTTCAGTTGCCTCTTCCTGATGTTAAGTACAAGCTTCCTCCTTGTTTGCATCCTCTCCAAAACCTTATCACTGCTCACACACTTGGTCCATATCCTTAGCATCCTTCTGTAGAACCATATTTCCACTGACTCGAGTCTTTTCTTCATCTTTGAGGAGACCATCCAACATTTACTGACATAAAGGAGGATAGATGTCACATAGCTGCTGAGTACTCTTTTCTTTGTTACCAAAGAAATCCTCCTGTCTTGCAATACTCTGTCCAGCTTTTGGAATGTGTCCTTCGCCATCCCAACAAGTCTTCAGATTTCAGTGTTGCACTTACTGTCCTCTGTTAAAACACTTCCCAGATATTTAAACTTCCGCATAGTCTTGATTGTAATGTCCCCGAATGGCAAATCGCATTTCGGGCTCATCCTTTTACTGATGACTATGCATTCTGTCTTCTTGTAGTTTTATGCATAGTCCCTTCTTCTCACCTTCCTTCGCTACCTTCTGCAGGAGGTTTTCTAATCTTTTTTCCGTGGGTTTCACTTTAGCATTCATTACACGCAATCACCTCTTAAAGTCTCACTGTTTGCTTTACTGGAGATGATGTTGTCATATATTATTATATTATGACAGAGTATCCATGGGGTCGATTATGGCAGGCTGAACATTGAGAGTTGATATTTTATGGGCTGGGTTTGGGCAGATTCAATGATAAAAGATTAAAGATCATAAAACAATCGGTATAAAATTTGATAAAGGAAAAAAATAAAAAAATAAAAAATAAGAACTAATCAAAAATTGATGAAAATATTTTATCTTGAAATTCAAATAACTTAGGCTATAATCAAATGCTAAGAAAATAAGAACACTTAAAAAAAAAAAAATAAAAAAAATGAAAGAAAAATTTTTTCATTTTAAATAATTTTGTACTAACATTTGTTTGCCATGCCCTACTTCCAACTTATATTAAGGAAAAGAAGTAATTTGAATAACTACTAATTTGTTAACTGTACTTTTTAAAGACTTTGTTAGCCTTTTGTGATGTCAACAAACACTCGCTGCCACTTTTGTAATGTCAATAAATACTCGTTATCACTTTCATATTGCTCATTGTAGTAGAGACTTTGTAATCGCAGATACAACTATAATAATGCTGTTGAACAATATTGGTGTCAGACACCCTCAAATAACACTCACATGAATAGTACTTGCTTGATAATACTCGCTTGAATAGTAACCACTGAATAGTGATCTGAATAGTAATCCATATAGTGATCACTTCGCTAATTCACATATATACATTTCCTTTACCATCATGTGATCTACTTATTCAAAATGGGATCGCCTGTGTTTGCTCTCTGGTGTTCAAACTCCAGTGTTGTCAGCGACACTTTATTCCTATATAACAGGTTTATATTTGGCATACAACTATATTTAATTTTGATAATTTTGGAATAAAAGCCAATGAATATGTTTTTACACATATTAAAAAAAAAAAAAAAAAAGAAAAAGGGGGAAAAAAAATTGCCTTTTAGTGTAAACAGAGCCTTCTTCTTTAATTTCTTTCATCTCTGGTTTGGGAGGTATGTATTCTTCTTCTTCAGCAGCTGGAGCTAAAATTAAAAAGAAAAGAAAGAGAATCAAGATAAAAAAGTTTAGTTGTGAAGACTTTTTTTTCAGAAATGAATTTACAAAAGAAAAATATTCAGCAAATAACCAGAATGAAAATAATGAATGAAGGCAAAAATACATTTGAAAATTAAAAATGTTCACTCAAAAATTATTTTAATGAAGTAAGAAGACGTGAAGGAAATTTCGAAATACACTAACTTATGTGCAAATAATTTGAACCTTTTTTTTTTTTTTTTACAAGTAAAATATATTTTTGCTCAATAAAAGAGTACAATATTTTAAATTATCTCCCTTTAACTATAAAGAATCTTACAGATTACACGGAGAAAGTATTTGCTAACTTTTCATAACGAATACACAGCAAAAGTGACTCCAGCATTACTTATCCAATAATAATTTAGTTACACTGATTTCAAATTAATTAGCAAAAAATTAAAAAAAAAAAAATGTTCAAGACTGTAGATAAACAAAGTTTACTATCAAGAATGAAAAACAAGCACAAGGTAGTTGTTCTCTTAGTAAGCACTAGGAGGACTCTGAAAATTATCCTGAGAGTTAAAATTCAGTTAACAAATATAAGATTTTTTGTTCACATTTCAGAGATACGGAAATCATTTTGTACAAATTACAATATGAGAATGAAAAGTATTTGAGGGTAAATAACTTGGTTGATCTGGTAAGGTCATTGAAATAAGTAAGCACTTTGAGTCAATTTTTAATCACATTTGTCTTCTCTCTCTCTCTCTCTCTCTATATATATATATATATATATACACACACACACACACAATTACAAAATGAAATGGTGTGAAAATAGTTAATTTGATAATATTTTTATTGTTTATATATTTTAAGACATTTTTATGTTTAAACATTCTTTTTTATAGATACAAATATTTAAGTAAATGCTCTGTTTATAATAAACAGTATTAAACAACATTTACCGGTCTAAATGTTGTTTAATACTGCTTATTATAAACAGAGCAATTTATAATATTTGTATCTATATAAAAAGAATGTATAAACTTAAAAATATCTTTTCATAATATATATATATATATATATATATATATATATATATATATATATATATATATATATATATATATAACTAGACTCGTTTTGAAAAACCCACGAATTTTTGATTTGCTAATCAAATCAATCTCGAGGAAAAAAGGTTTTAAAAAAGAAAGAGCTACAAACATGAACTTCTGTTGACAAAAAATCGCACAGATGCAGGTCTGAAGCCCAAAGAAAAAAACCCGATACGAGTAAACAACTAACAAAAGAGCTCAATACAACCGTAGAGCAGACCTAGATACACCTAGTGAGCCAGACAAACCTACCTAGGTAGGTTTTCTGATCGTCACTAGTCTGAATATGTATATATATATATATATATATATATATATATATATATATATATATTTTATATATATAAAGCAAAGGCAATAAAGTCACTAAGATCCAAGGGTTTAGTGATTGTGAAAGAGTATACAAAAAAAAAAAACATTATTAAGGAGAAAGGTCAATAAAAGAATAAGAATTAAGGAGACAGAAGATAATGATTGATATTGCCTTTAAAGTTTTAAAGATCAAAGTTGACTGGAAAGCAACCAAAGTAGACACTTTGAGCAAGCATTTTTTTTTTTTTTTACTTAAATACTGATATAGGCTTTGAGCTGTGTAGTGAAATTTGGAATACCCAAAAGAGAAATCTGTAAACCATACATGTAAATAATAATATATATCTCCAAATAAGTGCTGTTAAACACATTATGACAAACCCTGTCAAAGTTTTAATTGTATATTTTCAATTTTTGAATAAGAAGCTGTATATCAGGATCAAAATTATGAGGAAACTATCCAAAGTTCATGTTTTATTATTTTTGTTGAGACCATCACATTTATTAGCAAGAATTGGGTGTTGCTAGTGTGGTAGACAAGAATTCATGAACTACATTCTGTCAGTTTTGGGGAACATTGGAATCGAATTAGTCCAAAGTAACATAATGCCTAATGTTTAAAGGAAGCTAGACTGCATTGGAAAAGCATGCAGTAAATATTTATTTTGTATGCATATTAAATATTTTATACATACTTCAAGATATCATCTCCTGGGGTGAAAGATTTTATTTAATGTGGATTTTATTTAATCTAGAATTTTGAGTCTTTTGCAGTTCATCCTCTATAATATTTTGGTATTATCTACTAATATTTGTCATATTGATAGTTGAATTTTGATTGTATGTTTGTTTTGAGAGATAAAATGTGAACATTACTTAGCAAAAATATTGAGATGTCTAAAAAGTTTGTTCAATACATATTTATCACTTTGTGTCACTATCATTTGCCAGTTTTCAGACAACTTCATAATTCCATCCTCTAAAAACGTTATCTTTTCCAGTAAAGAACTGCTCTAGATGTTTCTAGGAAATTAAAACTTTTATTCATTAAAAGAATTTGGTAACAAAACTAAAATAAATGAGAATTTGAAGGTGCAATATATAATGAATATAACAGATGAGTGAAATCTACACCAAGTTATAGCAATTTTTTCCTATCACTAAAAGGTCTAATATTATCTGAATGGAATATTAAGCTTCTTCTCTTACATAATTCCAGATGCTTTTTGTTAATCATTGCTTTCAACTGATCCAATTGAGAACAGTACTTGTTTGAATCAATCATTTAATTCTTGAGTAGGACGTTAACATTGCAAACTTCTTTCCAATCCTAACTCAGCACCACTTTCTACGGATAAAGACTGACCTTTACTATGGTTAATGGTGGTTTATTTCATTTACTCTACATCGATTATAAAATATCCATTTTTCATTGCCCATCGCAATTTCTTTTAAAAGGGGAACATTACATTTACAAAGTGGTACTGAAAAGTTATCAGCTCTAACCATTTCCAAAATTTGGCCAAATTATCAAACATTTTTTTTTTAAATCCTTAACCCCTTTATAAACAGCAAATTGTACATGGAAAGACAGTCCAGAAATTATTTTTGCTTCTTTTTCAATCAACTTATGTGGAAGCCACACTTCAAAGCAACTAACAACCATATTGTTCCTGTTTCAAATGTTTCATTTCAATGTATGCTGGCTATTTCCTATGTTATATAAAATTTATTATTCATAATGCCTTCATTTAATTGCAATCAACCACAACATGTATAGCTGGTCATGAAACATTGTTCAATAAGAAGTCAACAGTATAAAATTTCCTGAGCCACTTTAATGTTTGATTATTTACAGCACCTTTTCTAATAACTGCACAAATGCATTTTTGGGGGGGGTTGCATGAGTTGCAATTTTTTTTTTTTCTTAAATTAAAAAAAAATGCTAAAAGTGTAATTTTATTCTGTCTTCAATAAACAAATATATAATACTGACAATTTAAAAAAAAAGTACCCTATTATGACAACTGTCCAAACAGAGTCAAAAGCAATCTTTTTTAATTACTTAAAACTAAATGTTGCTAATTCCCTCTGACAACAAATGCATGAGACAAAATTCTTGTCCAACACAATAGATATGCCAAATGATACAATAAACCCTACATCTTTGAAGTGTGAATAATAAGAAAAATAACAGTTACAGGATATTCTTAATTACTTTTCCAGTGACCTGATGACAAATGCTGAAGTTCACAAAATCAACCCTTCAGATACCAGTTTGACAACTGTCATTAAAATAAATTAAAAAATAAATTATAAAAAAGCGGGGATGGTGGGCAAAAACTAATAATGCTATTAAAAATTAATTTTCAAATTGAACTGTGCTTAGGATTTGAACACTGATACCACTTTCTGTCAAAAGTTTGTACTGTTGAACATTTTGTTAAAAAAAAAAAACATCATTAAACCACTAATAATTTGGGTAAAAAATTTAAAGTCAAAATGTAAACAAAACAAAACTTGTGGATATCTTGAATTTAAATATTTCAGTAAAATGCACTTATTTTTCAGCATGGAACAAATTTTCTGTTTTATATAAGAATTTATCACAAAGACCTTCAAAAATGGATTAGTTTATTAAAAAAAAACATTCATTACAACTGTTTAAACAAACTTAACAAATGTGACAGAAAATTATCAATCCATGCAGCTTATGAACAGCTGCAGAATGACAGTACAAGTTTTGTAAAAAAAAAAAAAAAAAAAAATTAAATTAAAGAAATACTAGTCAAAAATTTAATAATTAAATTTCAATAATATTAGAAAATGACCTATTTTGACATTTTTTTGTTAGATATTTTCAGGTAAGATGTATTAAAACTTAAATGTAATTAAGAATTTTTGCTTCCCTGTTATTAGTCATTTTGGCATAAATTAAGGAATCGGTTTCTTGTAAAACAAATAAAAACTGTGAAACTTTAAAAATTTAGTCATGATTTTAATCCTTAAAGCTTTGACATAAAAAGAGATTATATTTAGGTATCATAGCAAAGACCCCATCCAAACAATTACCATGAAAATATTTATAGAAAAGGCAAAGGGAGGCAACCTTATAGCAGTGGGGAGAGTGGCTGAAGCTGAGCTGTCAGATCAGGACCAATATTATTGCTGATTCTTCTTTGGATTTTATAAAGGAGCTCAAGATAAATAGCAGAGGCACCAGACCATATGTGGCAGCAATATTCTAAGCATGGACAAATGGTAGACTTATAGATATATATGATAGATTCTGAAAAAGTCCTGGTATGTCAAGAAGGCATTAATTCCTAATTAATTTCTTTTCATGGTTTTCAAGGAATAACATACATTTTGAATGCTGGAACTTAGCAAAACAAATTTTAGATTAAATATTACAAAATCCAATGTTTCATCAAATTTTGCCCTACTGATAAAAATACTTTTAGTGTAGAAAATAATTAAAGCTCAACTAAGGAGTGGTGGAATAGGTATTTATCCATGTAACACAAGGTCAAGTTTCAGGCTTACAGCCACATCATGTTGAAACACTGGTTCCCATATGAACACTGAAGTTAAGCAATGTTGAGCCTGGTCAGTATCTAGATGGGTGACCACTTGAGAATACCAGGTGCTGTAAGCTTGGATGCGTGGGTGTTGTAATGGATAATGGCTAGAAATTTTTAAACAAAGAGCCGAGTTCCAATTCCAGCTGGATTCATTATATTCACTTATGTGCAAATACCCTTGGGAAAGGTATGAATCCACCTCTTCTCTCCCAAGCTATGGGTTAATTACTAAGAATTGTATCATTATTATCTTAAAAAAAAAAAAAAAAAAAACTTATCTAGAAATATTTTCTGGCTTTAAATAACATATAAAGAGCTGATAAGCCATAGAAAATGGATGAATGAACCAATCAAGTTCCAGTGGTGAAGTAATGGTAAAGTCAGTGGGTAATAAGAAAAGCCCAAACCTTTTCATGTTCAAATGATGTCACCTCAAAAATAGTCTAATTATGATTTTTCTTCTTTCCGACCACACTGTCAAAATCTGTGACATTAGATATATGTAACCATTAGGCTATATTAAAGTTTACGTATATTTAATAAATCCTATATGTGATATCAGACATACAAGAATGACTAGTTTATAAAAGATGGGACATTGTAACAACAAAGCTTACAAAATATAACCAATAAGAGCAAATTTATTTAAAAAATAAAACGTCTTTATCCTAACTATATCACAAAAATGTTGGAAAAATTTACAGCCTGTTGTCTCTCAAAATGCAGAACCAAAACTTTAAACTTTTTAATTCAGTCATATATTTGATAATAGTTGTACAGCATCTAGACATTAAAAAAACAAAACAATTCTTAGTAGGGTCATCAATTTGGGCAACATTTGAAAGCTCAGTATGACTAAATTCTAAATTTAATTTATTCTCATGAACTGTCTAAGTGAGCTCAGATTACTTTCAAAGTAACCCAAAAAGTGATAGTGAAATTCAAAATTTAATAACCCGAGGTGTCCACAAGTAACCATAGAGCCTGGTAACCCTGATTCTTAGTCAAGCATTCTGAGCTCAGTTAATTTTTTTTAATAAATATTTATACCAGGGTTTGTGAGAGAGTTGGAAATTCTCCCAAAGAGAACTGTTCAATAAACAAAGATGAAAACTTTTTTAAACAAATGAAAAGCTACATAAAAATTGAATAAAATAAAATATAATCAAATTGATGATAATTTGTAATTAAAATAAACAAAGAATAATGGTAAATTCTTTTTAATTTAGTGTCAAATATAAAATGTATAAATAAGCCAATTTTTTCAGGTTTTTGGGAAAGAGAGCTTAGAGAATTTGACACTCACTTGACATATTGAAGGAAAGAGGGACAAAGGAAAGCAGCAAGTAACTTACTTGAATAAGGACTAGCAGGATGTTAAAAAAAAAAAAATCAAACCTTACTGAAAGCTACAAAGGATAGGAAGTTGTGGAGAGCCATGATTGTCCACATCCAGAAGAGACACAGCACATAGAAGAAGAATGCTCAAATATGTCAATACAGCAAAATGATGTCTCAGCAATTCTAAGATCAGTGAAAAGTTCATTAACTGAACACGAATATCCAACATTTTTCCTTGTCAAGATACTGTTTAACCAAACTTAGTAATTAATAGGTTGCCTAACATTCTAAAGTTACTAAGTATTTTAGTAATTATTGGATTGCTGCTGGAAAACAAAAAGAAAGTTTGAAATCAAGAAGTTTTCATTATTCAAATTATTTCTAAAGTTTTCTCTATTCTTGATCATCCATTGTTTAAATATCTTTGTATTTGATGAAACTTAGGGAATGCATCGAAAAAGACAAAGTTTTGAAGAAAATGGAAACAAAAAGGACACTTATACGTAGCATCTGAAAGACACTTGAAATTTTTAGGGCACATACTGAGGAAAGATGGCTTGGAAAATTTGACACTCAAATGACATAGTAAAGGCAAGAGGGACAAAGGAAGGCAGTGCATGACCTACTTAATGAGCTCATGTAAATGCCTGGTAGAACAGGGATTAAAAGATATAGCAAAAAGAACAATTTTACTAAAGGCTATAAAGGACATGAAGTTATGGAGAGCCATGATTGCCAATATCCTGAAGGAACATGGCAGATAGAAAAAAAAAAGATGTTATTGGAAAGAACACAAATGTGAGCACATATTGAGTTTTATGAAAAACAAAATTCCAAATTTAAAAACATTTTTTTGTTTTTGATAAAAATAATTTTTAATATTTATAATTTAACATCAAAGCTTTATAAATGATTAATGAATATTTTAAGTTTCAGTGTTCAAGTGCAAGACAGAGAAGATTTGCAGCATTTTATTTCTGTTGAGATAAAAAATAAAACCTGAATTCTAAATATGAAAAATTACTCATGAGTTAGGAGTAATGTCCTTTTGGCACTAGGCAATAGCAAACAAAGTCGTAATATATCAAAAGTAGCCAGAATCCTTAGACAGGAAATACCACACTGGAAAAATGATTCTTGAGAGATTCTAATAATCAAATAACAAGAAATGCAAAAAAAGAAAAAAAAAATTATTTTTAAAAATTGAAAAGATAAGAGATTTGTTTTTTTACAGCTTATCAACACTTTATGGATTATTTAAAGTCAAAACATACTGTAATTTAATTTTTTTTTGTATGCTAATATTACATTAACAATATTTTGAGAATAACAATGATTTTTCCAGATACAAGTCCTACTATTTAACCCATAATTGGGGGAAGATATAAACTAAAAAACAATATATAAATAATAACTTGCTGTGTAAAGATTATATTTATCTGATAAAATTTACTTTTCATTATTTACATTTTCTGGCCAGCCACATAACAAAAATAAAACTAATATACAAAAGTAGGTTTAATACTTAAGTTTAATACTTTAATACTATGATACAATTTCTCAAATTGTCTGTCCATTTTAATAGAATAATGTTTATAAACTTTATATAAAATTTTAAAATTTTTGTTTTCCCTTTTGATTTTTATCAAAACCATATTTGCAATAAAAGCCAAATATTTTTGGAAAGAATTTATATTCAACTATGTTAAATAGTTTGATATTTTCCAAATCCTAATTTTCTTAGATTTTTGTTTTGTTACTTTTTAGAAACTCATTTCCTTCTTTTAGAAATAAAACTATCTTTTTGGTTTTTAGCAGATATCAAAATATTGTAAGACAAAACTGTAACTATCTCTACTGTAGAGCTAGAAAATTGTCTGTTATTTTAATTGTATTGCTGAGGGTATAGCTGTACATGTACAAAAGACATTGATCCAAGGATAATTTCCCCCCAAAATATTGTTCCTATCATTGAAAGCATGTTGCTCTTAAATGTTTGTTTTGTTTTACTTTAAAAACATTAGAAATACTGCGAAATGTGTTTGAAAAGATATAGAAATAAAAGGGATAAAAAAAAAAAAAAAAAAAAAAAAAAAAGGTCTGTTTTTATTGTTTATTTTTGGCATTAACCTCCACACAATAATCCTTCTCTTTCCTTTTACCCGAGGCAATGACTTTTAACTTCTCCTATTTGTTAATAATGACATTAGTCAATCTTTTGTTAGCCACTAGTTTCAAGGCAAGCAACTGTCTTATTGTTTAATGGACCTCAGCTGAACCCAGTCCGTGTGCTTCAAGTGTTTGAAAATGGAGCCTATAAGAGGATTACATTGACATAATATAATCAGAAAAGAACAAACTATGGTGACCAGATGATGACTAAAAAAACTCCTGTATTAATTGCTACAAGTGGCTACTGGATAAATCATTTACTTTCCAAGTTGGATGGAGGCTGTTTGCTTTGCTTAATTAAACAAGATAGTGATTATTTTACCAATTCATGTAGAGTTTGATTTTTCTCATATACTAATTAGATCTTACTGATTATTTTAATTTTCAAATTATTCAGCTACTGATGCAATATCTTGCAAGGAATTTCTTTGTGCTAGAATGGCTGATGAGATATCTATCATATGACAAATTTCTTTGTCTTAAAACTTCTAATTTTGGCAGTGAATCAGACAGACATTCAAGATAATTTTTTGAGATAGTAACAACGGCAGTTAATGTCATGACTGTCCTGAAATAATTGATAGAATATTTCCTATATTAATAGGAACCTGGAGAGGGGGTGAAATAATGTTTTCTTTTTTAATTAACTAAATTAAGTCAAAGCATCTAAAAGATTTTTTTTTTAGCACCTCTTTTAATATTTCCTTATTTTTATTGATAACTAAATTCTTAAATTTTGTTTTCTGAAGAACATGCCAAAAATCATACTTTAATGTAAATAATCAAATAAAATCTTACCATTTTGTTAGTTCTCAGCACATTAAAAATACTTTTTGTCTTAAAACATTTCTATCCATATTTTATTATTTATAATATACTAGCAGTAGAGCCCGGCATTGCCAGGGGATGTAACAGTAAGAGATAGATCAAGTATCGACCATCATAAAGACTGAAAAATAAAATTGACAAAGATTATTGTTTAAGGTTGATGGAGATGCATGTCTTAATTAGTTTTTTTTTTTTTTTTTTTTTTACGAATTGGTCAAAACCAAACTCAAACAAAAACATTGTTTTCAATCGTTATGATGAGTCTACCGATTGAATAGAATTTTATTATAAACAATTGTCTTGTAAATGGAATTTTTAAAGTATTCTGAATATAAAAATAAAGAAAAAAGTTTGCAAGACAATAAGAAACACTACCTGCCAAAAAAAAAACGTGAAGTTTTGTTGAAATCGGTTGAAAAATGTAGGAAATCTGATCCCATATATAAACGAACACACACACACAAACAACCTGGGTTTTATAATAAGTATAACTCGGTATGAGTTGTCCCCCTTTCATTCTCGTGATGCCTCTTAATCGTGTTTTCAAATTGATTTCATGCAAAAACAATTGTGTTTTTCCAATTTTTGGTGCTGTCAGAACCACTGCAAGGTAATTTTACATAGTCCTGTGAAGTTTTGTTGAAATCAGTTGAAAAATGTAGGAAATCCGATCCAATATATAAACGTACAGACACACACACACACAATCTGCGTTTTATAATAAATAAGAT